GCTACGAGAGCCACCAGGAGAGCCACGAGAGCCACGGCTTGAGCCGCGACGACCGCAAGCTGAGCTACGAAAGGCGCAAGCAGGTCCACCTCTTGAGCTACGGGGGCCACGAGCTGAATTTCGAGGGTCACAAACAGGACTGCGAGGACCACCTGCTGAGCTACAACAGCTACCAGAGGAGCTACGAGAACCACCGGCTGAGTTTCGAGGGCCACAGGCGGATCTATGAGTGCCACTACTTGAGCTGTGTGGTCCACAAGCAGAAAAAAGAGTGCCTCCCGCAGAGCCAGGGCGACGGGCTGAACTGCAAAGGGGGCCTGCCGAGCAAGGACCGCGCGCTGCGCTACCAGTGCAACGAGCAGGGTTTCGAGGGCCGCCAGCTGAACTACGAGGGCTAGCCGCTGAAACACGAGAGCCACCGGTACCGGCTTCCCTGCCACCTGGCTTGAACGGCTACTTTGACCAGCAGGGGCCGCTACTGGCACTGTGCGGCCCTGGAAATGACCGCGTGGAAGCTGCCGCGCGTCACGTCCGCCGTGCTACCCCTCCGTAGCTGCCTCAAGAAGCCAGCTGGGCCACCAGGGCCACCTGCAGAACTCCGAGAAACACGGGCTGCGCAACGCGGACACCGAGCGGAGCTTCTGGCACCGCCATCTGAGCCATTTGGGCACGTAGAGCTGCGCGAACCGCCCCTCGCTCCTCAAGGACTGCCAGCAGAGCTCCGAGAGCTACCAGCAGAGCTTCAATGGCCACCAGCTGAGCTCAAAGTGCCACTAGAACTACCCAGTTTGACTGCTGAGTTGCGAGGACTATTAACTGAAGTGTGAGGGCTGCAACTTGAACTACCTCGGCCACCAGTTGAACTACGAGGGCCCCCAGCGGAGCTGCGAGGGCTACCAGCAGAGTTCCGAGGGCCACCTGAGCTACGAGGGCAACCAGCTGTATTGCGACGGCCACCAGAAGAGCTCCGACCACGAATTCCACGGCACATCGCAGCCAATTGCTGGGATAAGTTGGACAGGGAACACCCACTGCGGATCCGCACCGTAGAGGCCGTCTACAAGGCGGGCCGCATTTCCCGCGACGAGTACAAAGAGCGCATCGCAATTGCGCGCCGCCTTGTGACAGGCCTGATTACTGCCTTACAGGAGCTGGCACATGCTGTTCGTGTGGCACCTCACGATGATGATGGTGAGAACGGCCAATCGTAAGCAGGACCACTCCTTGAGGCTACTGCGCTACTTCATTTTCGGTGTCACCGACAAGGTACGCCATGTGTGTCGATACAGGCACGATATTGCGTCATCCGTAACCACGACGACATCCCTTGACTGGCCCAGCCGCTCAACCCATTCGCCCCTCCCTTCCTTCACGAACTGCTTCGGGATGCAGAAAGGGCGGCCTCCTCTCCCGCTTCCCCCCTCTCCGGAAAGGGCCCCCCCGGTGGCGTCCAGGGGCGCCCGACGGCGTTGCGTAGGCAAAGAGGACGCGGCGGATGAGGAGGAGGAGGAAGAGGAGGAAGAGGAGGAGGAGGAGGAGGAGGAGGAGGAGGAGGAGGAGGAGGAGGAGGATGAGGAGTAGGAGGAGGGGGAGGAAACACAAAAGTAACAAGAAGACTACGAATCATAATGCCAATGGCAATCGTAATATCACCAGCAAAACGAACCATAGTATGACGAATAAGAGTAAGCATACTACTACAAAACAAATCGACAAACAATGTGGGTGATAGCCAATATAATGATTACAGCAACAATACTGGCCAGAGTACTACTAAGGAAGACGCTGCTACACGGAATATTAAACTTATTTTAAGCATGATCATATCACGAGTACTACTCATACCCAGCAGCGTCACTCTAATAGGACAATGCGATGCAGGCTCGCAGGAATCATCTTACGAAGCATCGTATACAGACAACGTAGTAACAATCATATAACAATAGTACGAGTATGCACTCGAGGACAGGGAATGCCACTACTACGAGGCAACCTACAACCTCATAAGAATAGCAGTCATTTCACGAACAAAGGTAACATAGTCATTACAACAGTATTTATATATTATACATAAGAAGAGCACTTGGAATACTAGTATGCAGAATAATTCAGTTTTAAGCGTTTTAATATCACTACTGCTAGGCTGACGACGATGACGAAGGAGTGGGCGGAGGAGGAGGAGGAGGAGGAGGAGGAGGAGGATGAAGAGAAAAGGTTGGAGGAGGAGGAACAGGAGGATGATGCTACAGCAGATAAGGCGCAGAGAGGGAAGGATGAGGATAACGCGGGTAAGGCGGAAGACAAGGATGACAATGAGGATGGGGATAGTGATGATGATGATGATGATGATGATGACGATGACGACGACGATGACGATGATGATGATTCTGATGACGGTGATGATGATGTTGATGATGGTGACGAGGGTGATCATATTGCTGATGACGATTCGGATGCTGATGATGTTGATGATGATGATGATGATGATGATGGGAATGTT